TTTTACAGTTCAAAAGCTTGTACCATCACTTGCAGAACGCGCGCAAGATTCATCTCGTGAAAAACCGTCGACACTTTGTTTACAAATCTTGTCAGCGGGGATTGAGTCGAAGTCTGTACTCGAATGTGAACCGTCTGCCCCATATTACTGAGCACATTTCGGTAACGCTGCCGATAGCTTGACACGTCATCGTAGAAAATGTAAACGTTTCAATCTCCTGCTAAAAGCCCGGCCATGGCTATTACTAGGCGCAACGTATACTCATGCGTACCTTTAAAAAACTGTATAATTTTATTTTAGGATTGTTAAATAAGGGGGTCACTGACGCTTACGATCGAATTCTATGTAGCTACACATGTATGTCTGCGAGCATTCCGTGCAAATAAACTCTTGCCTTAAATGAGCACCGTTGAAATATCTTAGCTACTGTTTGATGAGAGAGCGTGATAAGGTTCTAGCTAGTCAACAGACAGCTGTCACGTTTGCAACAATTATGGGATATGTAGATGACACCTTTTTGTATCAGCGAATGCTCAACCGCTTCCAGTAAAGTGACTACAGCCTGCCTGACACGCGTGTAAGTACAGCATTGCTCTGAAAAAAAAAAAAAAGCGAAAACCTTCAGCGCTTCTTTGTAAAAGACAATCATAATGTTATTGGTAATTATGTTATTACAATTCTAACTTTCGTTGTTTTGTTCTTTCAGAAGCCGCCAATATAACATAACTATTGTGAGACGGTTACCCTAGCACTTCCATATTTCTAATAAAATTACCCTCATTTGAATTGGTAAACATAGCCGTTAGCGCAACCAACCATAAAAACACGTGAATGTTTTTGTTTGTGCCTGTAAAGCGTGCACTGCCGCAAGCTTTACGTTTTTGCGGCAAAGCAAACAGTACGCCGCAAACGACGTTTGATGGTTTTTGTTACTTCACAGACCATCGTCCCCTATTACAAGGCACTTTCGTAGGTAATACTTCAAATATATTCTTTCCCACAGGGCACTGACCAGCAATAACTGCGATTTGTTCACTATGTAACTTCTTTGGTCAGGCAGAGTAATTGCCTTTAGAACAGAACGGCTATAAGAATACAGCGTCGTTAAATGTAAATTCGGTAAACTGTACATCAGATTTGACATGTAAACCTTGTTTACATTTGCATAAAGCAATTCAGTATAAATTTAAAAGCAACTTACTAGCAATTTAGCGCTCCATGCTCGACCAAACCCGTCCATTATTCCATCCATTAAGTCTTCTTGTATAGTTTGCACCACGGCACAACTTTTGGGCATGTGGTAAAGAAATTTTTATCAAGGAGAAACATCAACTCAGTTGTAAGTTGTGCCTACATCGATAGCTTTTTACTAATCTAACCATGAATTATAAGTGACGAGGTCAGTACTCGTTATTTTAGCCTCGCTTGTCTACAGTGAAGAAAACAGCGAGTGCCTGACTTGTCAACTATGTCGAACGAGTCTAAATTGTTTAAAGCAACAAACCGATGTGTGATAAGAATGATAACCAATGCATATGAAAACCTATAGTTTTCATTCATATACATTCTAACGAAAAAAAAAAGTGAGTTGTTAAAGGAACCCTTCATTGCTGAATTTATGCATCGTCACAAGAGATCATGCTTTTTTGTAACTCTGAAGAATAGCTGGAATTTACGTTTACATTAATGAAAAGGAAGCCATCCCTTGGTTTGACAAAATGTCAACTTGTTTTTTTTTTATGACAAATAGTATTAAAAAAACAATATGTATATCAGGCGTCAAAATAGTAAATCGCATGGCGATGGCTTTTAACCGTCAATAAAGAAACCATTCTATGTCACGAAACTGCACGAAGGGACTTATTGTCTCACAAAACTCAAAGTATAGTTGTCTTCGCTTAGAATTCGCCCCACTAAAGCTGCCCGCTCTTAGAGACAAAATAGCCTTGGCGTTAGAAATAGTCAGATGAAGAAAACAACATACTATGCATGGAGTAAGCTAGAAGCAGTCGAGAAATTTTCGATATGGGCTTCATAATCAAGCTCTGCGAAGAATGGCCAGTACACAACATGGACCCGTACACGCTAACACCTGGGACAACACAGTTCGCCTGCTGTTTTGTTATGTTTTTTTGTTGTTGGCGATAGAGCACTAGGCTTCTGTGTTTATTAAGAATTGGGGTACGACAATAGGTATGGACACATAGGGGTACAATTACAGAGGCTTCAAAGATGGGAAAGCTACCCGCGAGCCCGAGGGCCAGATGAAATTTGATGCCCCATTTTATCATACAGAAGGATGCTGTATGAGCGTGCGGCTTCCGTGATACACTTCACGGGATGGTTGTGCCGTCTCTGGACTTTCGCAACAACAGGGTTGTTCTAAGGTACCCGAGGGGAAATTCCGTTCTTTAAAACTCACGTACGATTTCAGCTTCTATTTCCCGTTTAGTACAGCTGTCGCGCGTTCTAGAAGTATGCTCGTCTTCATATGCCAAGTCCATAGTTATATCGGTGGGTGAAAGAGATTTTTTTTAGCGATCACTCAATTGACCAGCGTGCGAAACCACCGTCTTCTTATCCTTTGTAAAGCGTGAACGCAACAAAGTGATAAGAAACATATATTCTGAGCACATTGCACCAAACTTTCTCTTCGCAGAGAGCTCTCAAAGTATCATGCACCCGTGGACAGGCTCAAGAGTACGTGTTTGAAGTAATGTAGAAGTATGAAACCTTCGCACTATTCACCGGTACCCGTTAGTCGATAAGTGCCGCATTTGTTGTCTCAAGAGTTACCTGGTGTTTAGAAGAATAACTCCATCTTACGAAAGACAGTAACCACTAGAAAGCCGCTCCGCATTACCATAGCAAAGTGATCGTTGCAGCTAGCAAGATGTTGCCGTTCCACGTACGTCGGAGATCTTTTTGTTTATCATTATATCTAGCCATATACACTCATGCTGTGGGTAAGCCTTATGGTTCCGGTTTGCAGAAATCGTTCCGGACAGCAGCGCCTCCTATTCAGCATCTTAGCGCATAACTAAGCACGCCAGCTAGACAAAGAAAGAAGGAAGCAGAGTCACCGCTGTAATAGGCGGCGACAAACTTATTTTCGAGCAGTCAACTAGAAGGAGACAATTTACGCCTGCGAGTGTTAGAAGCGGTCGCTCGATGGTTCGCCAATGTGAGCCGAGGGGAGCAGCGATTTCTCCGAGTCCTCATCGTTCGTTTCGTTCTGCTCGCTACGGCCGAACGTAATTTCCGTTTTCTTTCTTTCTACTTCCTCTTCGGCATCATAAAAGGCGTCTCCGAGGTGGAGCACGTCTATATGGCCGTATCGCACAATGCACACGACGTCGGCCCGCCGCAGACAGAGACGGTGGCGACCGCCCCCCTTTGGCTTCTCGGAAAAGCACGCTCCCCGTCTCTTCTTTTCTTTCGTTCGCGAAGATCGCCAGGCGGCGCGGTGAGCGCCTTCTCTTCGCGCCCGCCTTTTCGCCTTTTGTTGTTGCTCACATAAGCAAGCGGCAGCTCCACGCAATTTTTAGGAAACACCATGTCGTTTTCGCGGTGTTTGTTCTGTGCCGCGCCAGACACACAAAAGGTGGCGACCAGATATTAACGCTGGCGCCAGAGGAGACAGTCAGAGAAACTACTTTGGCGCTGTATCATGGCCTTTGGCCATTGAAGCTTCATACGTCCGTACTCGCCTTTGTTGGCCATTGTGGTAAGCTCGTCACCTTTGTCCCCCACCTCACACGCTCATTCCTTTGTTGACCTAATTCTCGCTTCGCATTGTTGGATCTCTTCGGCTTTAAGGCTTCAAGATGATATTGTGGCCCGAGCGCCAGTCTCCGCCTTTCTGTATTTATTGCATATTTCTCTATCCTTACAAAATCTAATGACACCAGTGAAAGGCCCCCTGCTAGAGGCATCTATCCCGTATTCTCAGAGGGGCTAGCTTGCCGATCGCCGTATGCATTTTCTCACGAATGCGCCTATTCAAATCCACAAGCAGCAAACCATCCTGTTCCTTCCAAGCTTAACCTGAGTCAGTAGTGCGCAAGAGGATGCCGTCCTACGCCTGCATTATTAATAAAGGTATCGTACAGCAAGCACAAATTCCTGTCGGAAATCGTATCGTGCCTTGTCTGCTAACTTCGAAGCAGCGTCCATACCGCCTTGTAGTTTACTGCGCGCGCACCTTTTTTGGCCTCTGAGCAACATTTTAGCTTAAAGCGATTAGGAGAGCTATAGAGGGAGGAAACTAAATGCTCGCACAATCTGCTATGTTTTCTAAGTCCGAGTGCTAGCGAGGCTGTTGTGTCGGTTTTTCTTCACTTCGGCGTGACGCTGTACCCTTGAGCCAGATGAACTCGCTTGCATTGCGCGAGTCCAGCAAGCGGGTGATGCCCACACCTTGCCCTACGAATCCAACTGTGTCCATGTGTGCGTCGCTGTCTCGTCAGTTAGTAATGTTTGCTAACATTCGCATGCTTTTATACAGACGTGGTGCGTACAGCGTTGCCAGCTTTCTACACGATGCAACGCTGAATGTAGCTTGACGCCGCACACGCACAAGGGTAGAAGTCCGCGCGCTCTCACTACTCTAGCTCCTCCCCCCCTTTTTTTTTTATTTCCTATGTTGGCGCGATGTGCTATACGGCGTCATGAGCCACTCCCGAGTCCATGGCGCATAAAAGTGGTAGGGCGATTTCACCCCATGCGAAGAAGAGGTGCAGATTTTATTACTTTTTTTTCGTATACACTTCTACGGCGTCGTGAGTCGTTCGCGAGGCCCGATAAGCCATGCGCTGTAGCACATTCTCCGCGCATAACGCGCTGCTCCCTCTTCGATCGAAGCTTCTCCGCCCGAAGCCCGCGGCTGCGTACTTCGACGCGTTCGGTGCCGCACAACTAGCGGCTTGCGTTGGCTTATCCTCGCTCGCATCTGCGCTGCATCTCCTTAATTCTGTGCACCATAGAGCACGACGACACAGACGCTGGTAAAGCGTAGTTCGACTGTTCGCGTCTATGTGAGGATAGCTTGGAGAGCATGACAGGAATGGAAGAAAGTTTGTTCGTGAATACCTCTTATACAAGTATTTATCTACTGCCGATTTGTTCTTAAGGCTCCACAACTAGCGGACATTAAGCAAACAGCTGCCGCCTACGATAACAGGTAGATAATCCGTACGTCGTCTTCATATGTGCAGGTTGCAGAACGGAATCATAATAGACCCCCTAATAAGCGGTTCACATACTTTAACTGGTATAACAATCTACGCTGATTATCTTAGTTAGGCATTCTGAACTACAACGCGTAGGTAAATGCCATGGGAAAAATGGCAAGTGGAGAACGCTTACGAGACTCCACGCGCTTTGTTCTGTTAACGGATGCTCCGCTGCGTCACCTCAGCGCGAAGAAACCGACGTGACGTCGCGCCCACCGCAGCTGCTACGCTTCTGCTCACTGCGTGCAGCCTCGACTCTATTTAATTGCTCATAGTATACTTTCTTTCTTTTCTTTTTTGATAAAAGCCCGCTACAAGACGTTATTTCGTACGAGAACTGGCGACGAGAAGTTACCTCATCCAAACTGCGCTTGGTGTGAGCCGTTCCACTTTAGGCAAGGAGTATAGCACTCCGCTGTAGCCTTCAAGGCCAATTACACTAGAGAAGGATGTTAAATCTGATGACAGCATCTTGCAGGTCTTTTGTCGCTAAGTCGGTATAGAGGGAGGTTACAGACGTGCAGGCGCTCACTTTACTGATTGGTTCACGCCTACCTGTATCTCTACTGAACTTTTTCCTTCTCCCTCTCAAGGCCAGGTTAATGTGGGCAACTCCTATGAGAGAGTGATTGCGCCTCTTGCCCTTTTATTTCTTCATAATCACTCCCACCCATAACAAGGCCGCATTCGACAAGGGAGGAGGAGGAGGAGGAGGAGGAGGAGGAGGAGGAAGGGAAGAAATTAAAGGCAAGGAGGTCAACCAGGCGCACGTCCGGTTTGCTACCCTACACTGGGGGAAGGGGTGAGGGGATTAAAAGAGAAGAGAGAGAGAAGTGAAGGGCAACGTGTGTGTAGATCTGACAATGTTCAAAATTACAAGCGCAGGCAGAATTGTCCATCACGGGGAGACAAGGTTTCACCGCCACCATGGTCAGAAATGTACATTCTCACAAATCTGCCCGTTGAACAATTATGAGATAGCTCCGACTGAGTGAAGCTATCAGGCCGACTTTTCCCGCCCCTTAGATGATTAGGCAGTGAGGGAGGATGGTGGGGGCTCCCCTCCCACCCCTGTATGTTTGTGTTTCTAATAGCGCCCCAGTTCAGGTAAGAAACAGTTTGTGTTATGGAAGGAAGGAAGGAAGGAAGGAAGGAAGGAAGGAAGGAAGGAAGGAAAGAAGGAAAATAGAGGGAAAAGAGAGGCAAGGAGGTTAACCGGCTTATAGGCAGCCGGTTTGCTACCCTGCGCATGGGAGAGGGATGGGGGAGATGAAAGAGAGCAGAGAGGGAAAAGGGCTAAGATGTGGCTCGCATTCAACTTTTCCGCGAGTCGCCGAAGTACGACAGACTTCGGAGGGGTGGCTAATACGGCTGCACTCTATTGGCGCGATGCTAACGCATAAGCCGTCGCCGCCGCGTCCTTGGGGTCCGCTCGAGTGCGCCCTGTGTTCTGGAATCGAGCGAGCGCCCGGCAGGGGGAGAGAGAGCGAGAAAAAAAAAAAAACCGGCGGTGGCGACGCTTAATCGGAGAACGCATTATTAATCGCGCCCGGAGAGGTAGGAGGCGTCCTGTCACAGCGTGTGCTGCATTCGTTCGCGGACCTTATCTAAAATTCACCAGAGGAGACGCGTTTCGTCGCCCCCCTCTGTGCTTTCCACGGGACGACGAAGACGACGCCCAAGAGGAGAGGACGGCATTCTGCGGGGAAAGCACGACCCGCGCGCTCGACGAGGTGACCCATAAAAGAAGCAAGCCGCACGCAGTGTTTGCGCCGCGATCCATCTTTTGAGCCGCACGGTAGCCGGGGCCATTCGGCTGCTCTCTTTTGGGAGAAAAAAAAAAGACTTCCCGGTGCCGCATCCGCGCGGCTCGCAACTTTGGCGACCTGTAATGCCGTGAGGCGCTTTCTCTGCGTAATAAATTATAGCGTGTATACCAGCTCCGCATTCTTTCCTTTTATGTGACCTGTCGAGCATTCGAAATAAGAGTCGTCTGCCGCGAGATCAAACTTCGAAGGAGAGTAGTTGTGGGAAGGGGGACTCATTCCTCTTTGTTTTCTTTACTGGGAGTTCTAAGTGTACACTTAACTCTTCGGTTAACCTTTCGCGTAAGGTTGTAACCTGAACTACCGTTCGGAAGCTCGAAGGGAGACATGAACGTTAGGAGGTCCTCTGTGCTATCGGTTGAGAGTGCTAACAAGAACCAAGCAATGCCTATAAGTTTCGGTTAGCTGCCAGAACGAATGCATTCAACATAGATGATCCTATATAGCCTTAAAGAAAGAGTGTGCTTTTAGGCACAGCCAACCTCATCTTCTGTGGTTGCAGTAGTTCTTTTATGCGGTTTTGCGCAAGTCGAGTAATTGTAAAGAAAATTGGGAACAACGCAAGGTGTCCCTTGAATACGTTAGCCATTGAGGTGCGATTTAACAAACACTGAAGCTTGGCAGTGAACTTCTTTGCTGTTCAAAGCAGTGCTACCTTGTTCTATATATATAAATCTATTCATAGCATGTTAGTATAGTAGTGGGCATGGTGCTGTAGTCGGAGGGTGCTTTAAGAAACCGCACATTGTGTGTAGGAGAGTGATTTAATGCCATTGAGAACTGATAGAATCCTGACAGCAGTGTACGAGCCAAGAAAATCTCTTACTTTATTGCCTTCGCTTGAATGTATCTGTGAGTCATACGTTGCCTATACTGATTCTTATCTTATTGACATCGCAGGCTATGTTTACATAATTTCGTATTACGAAGACTAGCGCAGTGATGTTCTCGTGGAAACGAGGAAGCTTCCTGGGCGAAATGATCAGGGTAATACTGCGGCATCTCACATTGACGTGTGGATGGGCGATACTGCGAAGTTCGTTGTGGATAGAAATGTAGTCGGCACTAAACGCGATGTTTCTTTTCATTGTGTGAACTGAACACGATCCAAAAACGCACGAACATGTAGATTAGCGTATTTGGCATGGTGTTTCCGAGGGTCCCGTCGTTCGCATTAGTGTTGACGCGTAATTTCATTCCCGCATCACTATATGGTGCATGTGCGGTGCGTGTGGCATGACTCTCTATATGGTTCGAATCCTGTGCTTGCTGCCTTATGGTTTTCGTAACAACGTAAGCGTTTGCCCGTGAAAAAACATATTCATTTGAGCACCACTACACATGTTCGTATTACGTGACACTGTACAGGCACGCAATCAATATGTCCCGTACCCACAGCACGCGTCATTTTCGGAGACCGAGTCGTCGAGTTTCACGAACAGGGTTCCGCACGCCACATGGATTTTTTCCCAGAAGCACTCACCTGAATTGAACAAAACAAACAAAAGAAGTGCGTGTCACGACACCGACACCCCAGCACAAACGTCACAAGCAACTTCACTCAGCGCACCTTCGACGAAGCCGTGCGAGATTCGCCGCACCCACCATTTGCACTTGCTCATGCGAGTGAACACAAGTCGGCGTATATACTTAAGGCCATGCGCCATTTTGCGCGCTCCTCGGCTGATACCTTCAACTCAGAGTGAGCACCGGCTGCAAGCTGCACACCATTTCACAATGCAAGCTACGAGCGCCGGGGCGCATATGCGAACCGCCTGCTGCAGCAGCTTGCAAGTGCGCGCGCCGCGCGAACGGATGTGAATCGCTAACCAGCGACCCTGCAGGTATACACAGTGACATGCGCCGACAGCACGGGCGTAGTCTGCAACCAGTTTAACCGTTGTTAGATCATAGATGGCATGAGTACACGGAGCACCCCCCCGTGCCCCTCGTTTTTCTGTTCCTCTTCCTAGATGTTGCTCTTGCTGCTGTGGCATACTGATCATTAGCGGTCTTAGCATCCGGTCTATATACCGTGGCATGTTGCCCTCAGTTCGTGTCCTTTTCCTATACCCCCCAAAAGAAGCCTGGTAGATGTCTGTTTCCTCTCCTACTCATTTCTCTCCGGAATGCTACTCCTTTCCACCTTCGATTTGCGCGTCTTGTATCCCTGTCTGTCCGTAACAGTCCCTGCTACTTTATTAGTAAAGTGTAAAGGTCATAATGTGTCTTAATTGGATTCGGTAAGTCATTAGGCAGTGCAGGAAAAGACATCTAAGTTTATGCACTCTGCAAACCTAAATATTATCGCAGGATAACGCGAAATATGTTCTGGTGATCAAGCACGCTTCTTTCTTCTTTCAGGTGTAGGTTAAATCGAATTTTTAGAAGCTCTTCAATGAGCACCTTAGCTGCAACTGTACCTCTCACAAATACTTGCTTCTTTTTTTCTGATTAGAAGCACTCACTGCACATGCACTAAACGTTAGCGCTCAGAAACAGTTCATAACCGTGAGTGCTTGAACTAAAAAGATTGAGCTAAGACTATGTGGCGGCGGCTCCAACCGCCAGCCCTGCACGACGACGACAAGCAAAGCAGCAAGCTAATTTTGTCGTCCAAACTTTGTCTGACTGCCACAGCAGCAAGGTAGCGGCACCTCGGATCAGGAGGAGGAGCTCAACGACATCCAGGTGCGACTGCCGAACCGGACGCCCCCTAGCGACCACCACCAGCAGCAGCTGACACCTCCGCCACACCACGTCGTCACCATGTCGCGGTCGAGTCTGAACAACCCGGCTCCGCTCGTGACCACAATGACTTCCTCGCACGCGGGGGGCCCGCCGCTGGGTGTGACCACGGCGGTGGTCAGCTACCCGCCGTCTGCGGTCGGTCCATCCACTGACAACGACACAAGCGGCGGAAGCGGCTGCTCCACGTCGCTAGGAGTCAGCGCGACGTCCAGCGTCGCTGGTGCAAGTGGCGCTGCGGTCGCTAGTGGTGCTCCGAGCGGCGCGGCCAGCGCCGGCGGCCCCATGGTTCGCATTTCAACACTGTGATGAAAAGGAAGGCTCATGAATCCGTCATTACCGACAAAGACAGACACCACACATGCGCTCTCCCTGCGAAGAAGAATTGGAAGGATTCCTTGAGGCGATATGAATCTTTCTGGCGGCTCCGTGTTCAAACTGGCCAGGTAACCCGGCGAGCTTTGCAAGGGAGCTTACACTTTGTGGGGCTGCACTCTCCTGCAGGGCCGCCACGGGAGTTACCCTCCGATCACTCTTCCGTACACCTATGGCGAAAAACCGCTTTCAACGTTACCGTACGTGCCACTGCTTAACACAATAAGCGGGGCTGGGCCTCGGCGTTCCCATTCCACGCTAAGCAGAAAGTCCGCGAGTAAAGGACTCCTTCTCCATCTTTGATCTTGCTTACGCATGCTGCACCGCGTAGACTTGAGCACTTGAGAGCAAAATTACTCAATCTTTAAGGACGAGTGAGTGATGGGCGCCGTACCGGCTCACCGGCGCCCGCAACTGCGACGAATATGCAAACTATAGAGTTTCGAGCGATGTACCTGTTGTGGCTAACGGTGCTTTTTCTTTCTTCCTGTTCTTTATTCTTCTTGTAGTTCTGTATGAAACTCCTATTTTGTTAGAGAAAAAAATGCTGTTTTTTTTTCTTCTGTTGCAAAGCACAAAGCCTAAAGCGGGTAATCGTCCATCCTAAGTTTTGCGTGCGCACACAAGGCTTCCATAAATCTCACACTGCAAACTCACTCCTTTTCACTCTGTCTTCGCTGAATGGACACTGAGGGCAGAATTCTAAATGAAACCTCTTTCCGGAAACGTTCGTTTCGCTGAAGAGTCAGAGACTTCAAAACACGCTATCTTCTCTATGCACTCGTCACCCCCAATATTGAAACGAAGCAGCTGAGACCGTTGAAAAGTGAGCCTTCATCAGACCTAACAGACTCAGTTCCACGTGCAGTGGAACTGAGTGGAACTCATTCGCATGAGTCGTCATTAGATACAAATTGTATTTAGAACCACTTTTTCTTTCGCTTTTTTTTTTCTTAGAACCAGACCGAAACACTGCGGTGCTAGAGAGCGCTGGCCATTGCCGTGCCTCCATGATTGATCCTCTGGCAATTCCTGTCATGCTTCACTTCGAAGAACCACGTCATTCTTGTATCGTTCGAATAGAGGTGATGAGATTTTCTTCAGCGAGACATTACTGTGTATATTACTTGTTTAGATACCTGCGTGCATTTCTATACAATGAAAATACTTCATTTAGCAAAGTGAAAAACTGTGGTCCGCATTCACAGAAAACGCTGACTCGAGCATTGTTCCTAAGGGAATATTTTCAGCCAATCCTTATACCGAACATATCATCAGCGAAGGCAGCCGGGCAATGATGGGAAAGCGTTCACTAAGAACAAACTTTTGAGACAAAAAAAAATGTAAATTTACACTAGCATCGATTTTGAATACCAACATACTTTCGAATGTGATGCAACCAAGCTCGCGTTTTGTAGCTCTTGAGAGTAAAGAAGTTACCTGGCGTCCAATGGGCGCGCCCGAAATTTGTGCCGTTAAGGTAACACCAAATCAGAAATTCGAACGTGGTTTGAGTTTATGCTGTTTATTTATATTGTTGAGGCCTCCTCTCGCAGTAAGGTTGGCCTGTTTAAAATTTTGTGTTTTATACATCTGTAAAAAAAAGATGGCTTTTTAGCGTCTATTTTATTTCGTTTCACGTTTCTGGTCCACTATTTCACCAACAGTGTTAATATTCTTCACAAGAACAAGAAGAAATCAGAAGCTGCTTTTTTCGACTTCCGGAGAGTTTCGAATCATGTCCTCAGTTTCCGCTTAAGCTGCGCTAATATATCTACGCAAGCAAGCTTTCCCACCACTTTCTGGTGTCACGAGCGGAAGGTAGAAGAAAGCCAAATGACTACGCTTCATATTATTTGACTGCGTGCCTGCTTTTTGACGAAGAAATAATTGCTGCGTTTCAAATGCCCCGCAAATATGAGTATTTATAGCTCTTAAGTTCTACCGCAAAACTTGTTAGCGTTTGTGGATTGTCGGTTAACCGGAGGCAGGACATCGCCAGCTTGGGAAGTGGCGCTGAGATCAACCACGAAAACACAGAACTAATATTGTAATAACGTGGTGTCTTTCACCAGCTCCAGAAGCGGGCTACAGGAGCTGTCCGGCTTTGAGTATTCCGAAACTATGCGCTAAACTCGTGGCTGCCCCTCTAAATATGGCGAGTGATTTTTCCCTCCGTGGAGTCCGTCATCTGCAATTACGCGCTATACTTCTTATTTTTTAAAAAACAGCGGTTCGAAGAATCTAACACGGGCATAGCAGTCGTTCTAGCAGAACAATTTCAATTATAGAGACACTCGTGATAATGAGGAGTTGATCATGCGGATATCATCCGGTGCCCTTCGTCAAGCGATACTGGCGAGGTTCAAGTGCGCCCTTCTGCTCAAGTTTGACCGTGTTATCGAAGCTCTCAGTGCACTATACAATAGCTACGAATAATCCAGTTGTACAGTTCAATCGACGACTTTGAAGAAGATACTCAAGCTGAAGAAAGCGTCGGTCATTTCAGTCCAAACTACGAGTTGCACGCTACCATTTAAGGTGGTCATTTACACTGTTTTTATTGTTTGGTTGGTTTCCGGCTTCAAGCTCCACAGGTCTTCCTCGTAGGCTTAAATCATTTGCCTTCTAAGCAATGCCAGGGGCACACCATTTATAAGTAATCCTTGAGTGCGTGTCAGTGGGCCGTCTCTTTCGCTTGGTGCATAATCTCCTCCGACGTACGCTCGCAGTCGTTCCCGCCGAGATGGTGCTCGTCTGCGCAATCTTATTTTTAGAGACCGCGTATCTGTGGTGCCTCTTATTTTTGCTACGCAATGCACAAACCCGCAACATACAAAACGCGTCCCCGCGTTTCGAGCATAGGGGTGAGTCTAGGTGCGAATGCTAGTCGTTCACTTGATGTAAAAAAAAAACGGTGTTGTGAATGCACCGTCTCTTCGTAGCTTTTTTCGGGTCCATCCCTGTGTTACTGTGTCTGTTCGTTAGCCACCGGGCCGCCAGTGATAGAAGATGAAAGGAGGTACGGAGACATATGCACGCAACCTCTCCGCTTTATCTTTCTTCCACTCTTCTGTCTTATCACTACGTTTCATCGCTTCCGAGTGAGCCGCTCATGTCGCAAACAAAATAACGGTCGAGTCGCCCGCTTCCGCAGCCATCGACTACTCTGTCTCTCTCTCTTCATCGCAATCTCGACTGAAGATCACAAACGCAAGACGACAAAATCAACAAACTTGACTGAGAAAATGTGTCTGGGCAGAAGAAGGCTTCTTGGTCGCTCTCTCGCAAAACAAGCTAAACAAAACCGGTGAGAGGCGTCGTCCCGCACAAGCCGGAAGTGACGGGGAGAACCCCGATTTCCGGTCAACGAGGATGACACCATACCGGGAAAAAAAAGTTCCACGTGTTCCAGCTCTGCGCATCTCTTTGCTATCTGTCGCTACCAGCCATATTGTGTGTGTTTACCAGCACGTCACAGCAGTGCGCGTGTGTGTGCTCTTGGCGACGGGTGTGTTATGCAGTGCAAACCAACAAAAAAAATTTTCCGGACACTGCTCCGTGCCAGTTCCCACTCCGCCTAAAGAAAGAAAGGACATGGACCCCGAAGGTGTGATGATATAAACTCTACAGCAGCGCCGTGTGAAAAAAAAAAAATGTACGGTGACTCTCTTCTCCTCTATCGCACTCCTACACTTTAGGGACAAAAGAAAAAACAAAGAGGACCGAATCCGAGGTGGACACTGTGTGTTCATCGTCGGGTGTGTAAAAAAAGACTTCGGTGTGTTTGTTGTGTTCTTGTTTTTTCCAGACTGTTGACAAATCCTCTCTTATAGTGAAAAAAAAATCAAGACTAAAGCACGTTGGTGACGAAGGGACGACAAACAGAAAAGAAATTAGGAGAGAAAACAAATTGTAAGTTACGTGGTGGCAATCGTGCCCGTGTTTTGTTTTGTTTTTTCTTCGTCCTTTTTGAATCTTGGCTTTTCCCAATTCCTTTTAGTGCCATGCTTGAAACATGTGATGCCAAACGTTGCCGTTTCTTGAGAAGGCCTTCGCGATAATTCAACAACCCCGTCGAGTCCTCAAATCTATAGTTTCTAACAATATTCACTGGAGGAAACTGTGGCGCTACAATCGTTCAGCCACCATAGGAATGATAAGTTGCACATAGATTTGCCTAGTCTGTGTGCTTGCGTCTTCGAACCACACTTGTGACTGTTCATTTTGGTGTTTTGGCTTTGCTTTCGCATAAAAGAATAGCTCGTGTGAACCATTTGATACGATTTGAATTGGAGGCCTGAAAGGGCCGGCGTGGTGTAGCGAGACTGCTGAACTTTCGCTTAATTTTGTAACTTAGAAGTGTGGCAGTTTGGGCTAGTTGGTATGACATGGCGATAGTTATAGCGCGAGAACGGAACGACGACAACAAGACAAAGAGCGCTTGTGTCCTCCTTGTCTCTTTCAAAACCTAACCTTCAAAAGCTACCTTCCAGGAATGGCAACGTTCTGCACAAAAGAAATGTCATCTGAACATTTTTATTTTTCTTCTGAATCGGTCAGCGCGCTTCTTGTTCCCGATACTTGTTTCATGTGCTGTCGTGTGTTCTTGACCTACGAGGTGTTTTGCTTTGCTTCGATGATTTTTCCGTACTTTGAGCACGATCCAGGCGTATCCAATTCAATCGATCTCTCTCTATCTCTATCTCTCCAGAAACTTTGTCGCAATCGTTGTTGTTGCTGTTTATCGCGATCAACTTGCGCCGCGCCTCACTTACAGTACAGTGCGTCTCTCAAACCGAAGAAAAAAAAAAGATATTCTCGTCTTAGACTTTAAAGAAGAAAAAAAAAGTTACGCAGCACTTTTCTCTTTACCCAAGCATGTGTACTCTTACCGTCGAATAACTTTGTCCCAGAATTTCACGTCTCATGAA